CGGCACTCACGCCGAGGACCTCCAGGAAATCTTCGCCATCATGCAAAAATTCAACCTCCGATTGAATCCAAAGAAATGCACCTTCGGCGTACAAGGTGGAAAGTTCTTGGGCTATATGGTAAGCCGAAGGGGTATCGAGGCCAACCCCGAGAAAATTCAGGCCATCATCAATATGGAGCCTCCGCGCAACGTCAAAGAAGTTCAACGGTTGACGGGTCGCCTGGCGGCCCTCAACCGATTCCTCTCTAAGTCAGCCGAGAGGGCCCTCCCATTCTTCCAAATCATGAGGAAGACAGCTGGCTTCCAATGGACATCTGAGTGTCAAGAGGCCTTCGACGAACTTAAGAAGTACCTCTCTTCTCCCCCGGTGCTCTCCAAACCAAAGGTGGGGGAGACCTTATACTTGTATCTCGGTGTTAGCCCTGCGGCAATCAGCTCAGTACTAATCCGAGAGGAAGACGGCGTCCAACACGCCATCTTCTACGTCAGCAAAACCCTCCGGGAGGCCGAACTCAGGTATTCTCCCGTCGAGAAGACGGTGCTAGCCATCGTTTGGACCGTCAAGAAGCTTGGCCACTACTTTCAAGCTCATCCGGTCCAAGTGCTCACTCATCAACCCCTCGGCGCCCTCATGAGGAGTCCCACTAGCTCCTCTCGGATGGTGAAATGGGCCATCTTCCTCAGCCAATACAACATAGATATCCGTCCGAGGCCTGCCATCAAGGGCCAAGCCCTGGCAGACTTCGTAACGGAATGCACCGCGAGATCAGCGGTGGATGAGGAGCCTTCGGCACCCCTTGATGAATGGTGGACCCTCTATACCGATGGCTCCTCGGCCACCAAAGCATGCGGAGGGGGAGTAGTCCTCATTACACCCGAGGGCTTCCGCGCCTATTATGCCATCCGCTTCTCCTTCAAGGTCTCCAACAACGAGGCCGAGTACGAAGCCCTCCTATGTGGCCTTCGGCTGGCAGCAAATCTGAAGGCCAAGATGATCCACGTCAAGTGTGACTCCAAACTTGTTGTGGGTCAAATTTCCGGGGAGTACGAAGCCAAGGAAGGAAGGATGAAGCAATACAAGGAAGCGGCTAAGGAGTTGCTCAAGGTGTTTGAGGCACATTCTCTCACTCAAATACCGAGGGCTCAAAACTCCGAGGCCGACATTCTATCCAAGCTTTCGGATGAATCCCCAGAGCACCTCTCCAAAATTGCAAGAATTGAGGAACTCAGCCTCTCAAGCATCCACGCGAGCCCCGTCATGAACATTAACCTGAGGCCGGAGGATTGGATCTCCGACATCATCACCTTCATCACCACAGGGCAACTACCCCAGGACGAAGCCCGCGCCAAGTTAGCTAAGCTGAGGGCTCCCAGCTACACCATCGAAAACGGGAGGCTTTACAAGAGATCTTACAACGGCACCCTCCTTCGGTGCCTTCACCAAGATGAGGCCGAAGTCGCCATGGAGGAAGTGCACAGTGGCACTTGCTCAGCTCACCAGGGACCCTTCTCCATGTCCCGAAGGCTCATTGTTCAGGGCTACTTCTGGCCCACGATGGCTAGAGATTGTGCTGATCTAGCCCGAAGGTGCACCGCTTGCCAACACTTTCAGAAGGCCCCCGACAGACCAGCGGTTAACTATGCCCCCATCAGCACCGCTATACCCTTCTCCAGGTGGGGGATTGACTTAGTAGGCCCTCTGCCGAGGGGTACCTCCAACAACAGGTACATCATTGTGGCCATCGACTACTTCACCAAATGGGTAGAGGCCGAGCCCCTCGCCAGCATTACCGAGGCCCGGTGCCACCACTTTGTCCTCAAAAATATTCTCACAAGGTTTGGCGTCCCCCAACAAATCATCTCCGACAACGGGACTCAGTTCGAGGCAGCCCCCTTCTGTGCCCTCCTTGAAGCTTGGGGCATCAAGCACACATTCTCTTCCGTTGCCTACCCTCAGGGCAACGGGCAAGTGGAGAACGCCAACCGCACCCTACTTGAGGGATTGAAGAAAAAGCTTGAAGCCGAAGGGGGAGGCTGGGTAGAAGAGCTTCACAACATTTTATGGGCCTACCGTACCACCCCTCGGCGTGCAACAGGCGAAACACCCTTCTCCCTATGCTATGGCTTTGAGGCTAAGGCTCCAACAGAAGTGACCCTTCCTACCCGAAGGGTGGAACAGTATGAGCCCGAGGTCAACGACACAAACATGGCCCTCGACCTTCATCTCATCTCAGAACGCCGAGAGCAAGCTTTTCTCAGGGCCGAAAACTATAGGAGACAAATCAAAGGATACGTCGACGCCAAGGTCCGCTCCCGGGAATTCCAGGTGGGAGACTACGTCCTCCGACGAAGGGAGGCCAGTCTACCCACCGAAGGAGGAAAGATGGCGCCCAAGTTTGAAGGCCCCTACATCATCTCAGCCATCATCAAACCAGGGACATACAAGCTTAAACGCCCCAATGGTACGGAGGTCCCTAGACATTGGAATGTGCACCACCTTGTCAAATTCTATCAATAAGACATGAGCGGCCAAGCCCTCATCCTCAGCAAATGTAAATATCAATGGCCCAAGGCCCCATCTGTTTTTGAAAAATAATCAAAAGGCCAAGCCTTCATCACCTACATATTGTACAGGCGGCCCAAGGCCCCCCCTTCTCACCTACAAATGAGTGGCCAAGCCCTCATCGCCTCACCAAAATAGGCCCAAGGCCTCTCCCTCTGATGAAGGAGGAACAACAATCTAGGTACCAAGTACCAAGTGCGCGGGTCACCCCCATCACTTTTTGAAAACACTAAGTGTTTTCTCAGTAAGCCGTACCCCACGAGGACGCAATCATGCATACATTATGCATATTATACATGCTCTCAAAAAAAAAAAAAAAAAAAAAAAAAAAAAAAAAAAAAACCGGGGGGTGCAACACCCCTCGGCTCCGGCTGGTACCAAGTGCCCCCGGCTATTTGTGTTCCACACACAAATAAAACCCTTCCCAGGAACGCTTTCCGCGCCGTCCCCCAAGGGGAGGCAGGCAACGGACCATGTCCCGGGCCCAGGATTCGACTTCCACAAACGAAACGCTCCCCGCGCTATCCCCCAAGGGGAAGCAGGCAACAGACCATGTCTCGGGCTGAGGGGACGACTTTCAAAACCGAGGCGCTTTCCGTGCTATCTCCCAAGGGGAAGCAGGCAACAGACTATGTCTCGGGCCGAGGAAACGACCCTCAAACCCTTTGGGATATCGGAAGGTCATTCCCGAAGGGGGAGCCAACGGTTTGTTCCGTTGCCTCCCGTATAGGCCAAGCATTGCCTAGAAACCAAGTTTCTAGATGCCTCTCCTACACCATCGAAAAAAAAAAAAAAAAAAAAAAAAAAAAGGATGTGTAGGGGGGAAGGAACTCCCCGGATACTATTCTCCCCGGAGGCTCATAACATCGGATATACATTGCCGAAGGCTGCTACAAATGCACGAGAGAATCTATCAACATCGAATCACCTGGCTACATAGCCGAAGGCTTCACTATATGAAGCCTTGGAGTACAAGAGTTCCACCGGAGGCCTAAGAAGAACAAAACTTCACCTAGATCAGAACTCGGTTGGATCAAAGTCTACTATGTGACACGCCGAAGGCAACACAAAGCTCTGAGGCAAGCTAAATCTATTATCTACACGACCCAGAGAATTCGTACCGAAGGCAGAATGCCACCGGTCTCGTACCCCTCGGCAACCATATACACCGGGGGCTCAGGCAATACTCACACTCGACGGATTCACCACAGTATCTATTGAAACTTCGTGGAAAAATGACTAAGTCCACGAATGGGGACCCTTCGGGAGGGCAACTCTTCACCTACAGACTCATCACTACACTACTAGATGAAAGCTTCCAATTCATTCTATCCCTCGGCATCACTACTACGAACATCCGAAGGGGGTCGGTCCTACACTACGACCGGAGGCTCGCGACAAAAGTTCTTACTTAGAAAATCTTCTAAGTCCACAATCACAAACCCCCCGATGATTCTACCCTACATCCGAAGGGTTCTGATCAAGTTTACTTGGAAAATTTGATGGTTCCACAACAACAAGCCCCCGGAGATTCTACACTATTACCGAAGGCTAGCAAGGAGTTACACTTAGAAAATTTTTTCTAAGTCCACAAACTCGGCCCCTCCGGGAAAACATGCATTCATCCAAGTAAAGAAAGGCATACATTCACGAAGGAATAGAGCGAAGGCAAGTAAAAATGGCAAAAACGGAGGCATTCATTCAACAAAAGCCCAAAGGCGAAATCTATTCAGAATTTAAGAGATTGTTTCATTACATGGCTAAAGCCGAGGGATACAGGCTATTAAAAATAATACATCGAAAAGATCCTGAGTCTAAGCTCCTTGGACTCCGTCGGTCTTGGGCTCAGTGGTGGCATCATCAGCAGTTTCATCCTCATTTGCGAGGCCGCATTCCCTCATCAACTCAGAGTCCGAGAGCTGGCGCCTCTCTTCGCCCTCCGGGAGGGGATTCCGGACATCAGGCTGACGAGGAGGAAGGCCGTAGGCCGAGGGATCGAAGTGGCTAGGGTCAACGCCGAAGTGGCCGGCCAGCTTCCTGTAGATCAGACGCTGGGTAAAAAATTCGCCCCCGTCAAAATAGTTTTTGCCCTTCAGGGCCATCCATTCAGATCCGGGGCCTGCCACCCAGCCCTCGACGCCCTGCTCTATCACCGAGGCCACCCATTCTTTCCGGTCCTCGGCCCTCCAACCCTCAGCGACAAAGGCGGCGACGGCGTTCTTCTCAGCCTCGGCGACAGCTTCCTTCTTGGCTGCCTCGGCCTCCTCGGCGGCAATCTTGGCTGCTTCGGCAGCGGCCCTCTCTGCGTCAGCCTTCCCCTCGGCTCTGGCGATCACTTTGTTATTCTCGAGGATGCTATTGAACGCCATCTGCTCCAGCCGAAGGGTCTCTTGAGCTTCTTGAAGTTGCCGCCGGGACTCCGCCAGGGCCTCGTCAGCCTGGCGCTTCTGCGCCTGATATTGCTCCATCCTCTGGAGCAGCTCTCCAAGACCGAGGGCAGCCTGCAGATCAAAACCATCATACGACAAAAATCAGTTTGGCGAAGTAAAAAAAAAAAAAAAAAAAAAAATGTATACGCCGAAATCACCAACTAAACAAAAGCTGAGCGAGACTTACGGTGACAGAGGCTTGGAGCACTTTGGCGCTGAGGGCGTCATCCTTGGCCCTCGACAGCACCGACTTGTCAGTCGGGGGCGTGGCACCCTTTAGGAACTCCCTCGGGTTGAGGGTGCCATGCATGATGGCAGTTCCCTTGGTGATAGAGAACTGCACATCATCCCGGGGCCAAGCCAGGCTGTTATCCTGGCCCCCGGGAGGAGGGAGGATATTTCCCGAAGGGGAGGAGGAAGAGTGCTCTTCGACGATGACAACGGGGGCGTCCGTCTTCTCGGCCCCCCCATCTTCTTCTTCTTCTTCTCCGGGGGCACGACCCCCTTCCCAGCATTTTTTCGCTTTAGCTCCCCATCTTGGGAGCCTCCGGCACCAGCACCGGAATCAGCAGCGGGTTTTTGGGAGGGGCCCCCACCCTCCGGGACCTTGGCGGTCCCTGCTTTCTTCAACGCCTCATCAACGAGGGGCTGGTTCGGGGACCCCTCGTCCTTTTTCTTCTTCGGCACTTTGGCCAGCTTCTTTGTCAATCGGGCGAAGGCTTGGACATCCATTATGTCACCTGCAAAAAAAAAAAAAAAAAAAAGGAAGGATTAGGGTCAAAAGAAGACAAGAAAAATTTTCTAAGTAACACAACATGAGCCCTCGGTGAACAACCTCTGGCATTCAGATACCCTCGGTCGATTCTAGGGTATTTTTCGTCCTTTTCCCCCGGGAGACGGTATCTTCGGAACCCTAACAAGTAGAGCTCCTCGGGCAGCGTCGCTTCCTTAATAGCGATTACTTTCTCAGAACCCGCGGGCTTCTCAATCAGTTTCCTTCCTGCCTTATCGAGGGCCGCATTGCCTACCTTGGGGTGCCTTTTGAAATGATTATTCAGCGCCCTCGGGAATGGATTTTCAGCCAGCCTGATGTAGCAGAATTTCTCCTTCCATTCCTTATGGGAGGAGAGGGTCTCGGAGAACAATTTCCAAGTTGGGACCTGTTGCAAGTTGGCGTATCCCCCGGCGTGTGAGTGGCCTCCCCGGCACAGATTAAAGGATAAGAAGAATTGGTCCAATGTGGCGACCACCCCTCGGCTTCGACAGAGAGCTAGGAACCCCGCCAGATAATAATGACTGTTGGGCGTGAGCTGGCAGGGGGCTAACTTAACAAACTTCAGATACTCTATGACGAAAGGATGTAGGGGGAACCTGAGCCCTAGCTCCACGGACAAAGTGTGCACCGAGAAACACCCCTCCGGGGGGTTAGACAACAAATCTTCCGGACTCGGCTCCACAACCTGCGCCGACGGTCCCACAAGGACCTGCAGGGCATGACACTCGGCACTCGAGACCGTGGTCTTCACCTCGAGGGCAGTGGTGTCCAAATAGGAGTGGCCCTCGGGAATCCCAACTGGCCGCCCCGCGTCAACGGCTGCCTGCTTCTTCTTTGGGGCAGCCCTCGCTTTCTTCTTCTTCCTGCCCTCGGCTACCCGGAGGGGTTGAACATCCAACGGCCGGGAAGTGCTCGCCTCACCAGCTCCCCGTGAGGGCATGACGGCAACCGTTACCCGGCGGCGCTCCTTCTCCTCTTCCTCTTCGGCGACTTGGAGAGCGAGGGCCATCTCCTCATCTGCCACCACCTGTTCGAATTCCTCCGCCTCTAGCTCAGTGCAGAGTTGGCCTTGGACCTCTTCAGCTATCATGGCGTCGTTTCCTGCCGATGGCTGCTCACTGGATGATTCCACACTTGAGTAGCTCTCCGATTGCGCCGGGGCCTCCTCCGATATGTTTTGGGAGTCGCTACCGGAAGACATCTTGACGGAGGAGAAGGGGAACTATCTAAGCGTTTTAACCGAAGGCCCCTAAAGTCACTACAACTAAACCTGAGAAACTAGCAAAGTATGCTAAGAAAGTCGGAAGGCTGGGGAAGTACTGACCTTAGAATTCGATTGGGATCGAGGGTGAAACTTTCTCTCTCTAGAATCAAACTGCCAGAGCTTCGCTATCTCTCAAAATTGCGCAAGCACAAATGAGCTCAGGCTCAGGGTATTTATAGGCAACTGGGCCTCGATATATGGGCCTCGATTTGAAAGCCCATCATCACGGGCCGCCGGTTCGACCAATGGACGGCACCCGCCCCCCCACCGACCAACGGAGGCATGCCACGTCAACTCTTTTTCCAACGGCTATATTACAACGACTATATTTCGGTTACACTAGGGGTGCCCCCGAGTGGTAGCTTCCGGCTATCACCCGCCACACCCTACGAACAATTTATTCCACCAAACGCCTTCGAGCCCATAGCTCCATAAGCCTCCGGCTTGTCAATGTTATCACCCCTCGGGGGATCATCAACTCATCATAACTCCTTCAGCCCGAACTCGCCTTCGGCCTAAAAGAGTGGGGGACTGGCATACACCCCTCAGGGATCATACACGACAAAAATTTCTTCATGCAACAATCTACAATTGACACGTGCAGCCTCCGGACAAACATCTAAGTGGAACCCCCTCGGCAGAACATCAGTGAGTTCCCACAAGTCACTTGCGGAGCTCCCGGTGAAGATCAACAAAAGGTTTACAAGCAACACATGTAACTTTCGGACGATCAACAAAGAGATCCCCTCGGCAAAGCAAAATTTCAGCCATTTTCCACAAAATCACTGACAATGATGGAACAGCCTTCATCACAACACATACAGGTATTATTTGCGCCTCCCTCAGAAAACCCCCGACATGTGAGGGACTGAGGAGAGGCTCCGGCATTCATACAAGTGTGTTACTTCCCTCAGAAAACCCTCGGCATGTGAGGGACTGAGGGGAGCCCCCGGCGAACATGCGAAGGTCATGAATACCTTCCCTCAGAAAACCCTCGACATGTGAGGGACTGAGGGAAGCCTTCGGCAATAAGCAGGAGGCAGCTCTCAAGCAAAGGCGCCCAACCAAATGATGAAGCCTCCGGAAGAATCAGTGCATCTACTCCTTTTCCCTCAAGTACCTTTCGGCAAAAGGAGTGAGGGACTCCTGATGGAGTATATGGCCCAAGAACCCCCGGCCCATAGACTCCCACTTCTCCTACACAAGTCCATTGAGCCCGGAGGACATCTCAGGCCCAAATACAACGGCCCAAGCTTCAAAGTAGCCCAGAATACACACTGGGGTGCCTTCGGCCTCCTTGGCCGAAGGCTCCAAAACTCTCAGAATAGCCTTCTCTGGCGTAAGGAGCTACTGGGAGAAAACGGGCGAGAACATTAGCCTTCGGCACTATTGAGCCCTCGGCACCAGGGGAAGCCCTCGGCTGAACCAAGGAGCCCTCGGCTACACGAGGAGCCTTCGGCCATACAAGGAGCCCTCGGCTACACGAGGAGCCTTCGGCTGGACTAGCTCAATCATCGAAGATTCCTTTTGGAGACAGCCAACAACCGCATTTAATGCCACGTCGCATCCGCCAACCGCATTCAATACGGTGAACGTACCACTGCCGGTGCCAACCGGCTGATGTGACCCTTCGGCCGTTGGATTACTGACACGTGTCCCCTCATCGCATTTATTGCTGCTATAAATAGCAGCCCGTTTCTCCTTGTAAGACAATCTACATCTCGATTACACACACTGAGTTCATTTAATAAAATCGACTCTCTCTCCTCCTATTTGCTCTGACTTCTCTCTAGTTATTCCCACAATAACCCCTCGGATAAGATACCCCCCGGGTAGACAGTCCATCAAATGATTTAGCAGTAGGAGGACTTAGAAGCTGTTCTCTTCGCCTGATCTGAATGTTTTTTATCTGAATTTTTTAAGTTCTAATCTGATCTGATCTGAATCTTTCTGATCTGATCTGATCTGAATCTTTCTGATCTGATCTGAATGTTTCTGATTTGGTCTGATCTGATCTGATCTGAATGTTTCTGATCTGAATCTTTCTGATTTGATTTGAATATTTCTATGATTATAATTAAAATTATATTTATATTTATTATAATTGTAATTACAAATATAATTTAAATAAAATTATAATTATAATCGTAACTATAAAAATAATAATAACAATAACTATAATTAAAATTCAATTTAAAATTAAAAAATATATACCTATTACACTAATTATAAATATAGATATAATTATAATGGTAATTTTATTTTTAATTATAATTACTTATATAATTATAATTGTAATTATAATTACAATATTTATCTCTATAATTGTAACTATAGTTATCAATATTATTATAATTACTCCGTAAAATAATTACAATAGTAATAATAATAATAATAATAATAATAATAATAATTATAATAAAAATAATAATTATAATCATAAATTATATTTATAATATAATTATAAGTATAATTATAATTATTATAACTATAATTAAAAATAATTATAATTATATTAACATTGATTATAATATTATAATATAATAATAGTAATATAAATAAAATTAATATTATTATAACGATATTATTATATTAATATTATTATTACAATAATCTAATAATAATAATATGATTTTTATTATTATAATTAGTATTATATTATTATAATATTATAATTATAATTATAATTATAAACATAATTATAATTATGATTGTAATTATAATTATAATTATTATAATTATAAATAATTAAAGTTATAATTAATTATAGATATAACTATAATAATTACAATTGATTATACTTATAATTACAAGAATTATAATTATAATTATAATTATAATTATAATTATAATTATAATTATAATTATAATTATAATTATAATGACATATAGTTATAATATAATATTATAATAATATTAATCACATTATTATTATTATTTTTATTATTATAATATTGTAATAATAATAATAATAGTCTTCTTAATAATTGCATTTATATTACTATTATTATATTAAATTATTATAATTATTATTGATATCTTATTGTTTTATCATATTATTATTAATATTATTAATAATAATTATATAATAATAATAATAATCATAATAGTAATAACAATAATAATAATAATAATAATAATAATAATAATAATTAATATAATAATAAAAGTGATAAATCATGTTTGAACTTTTGTGATCTGATCTGATCTGAATGTTTCTGATCTGATCTGAATGTTTCTGATCATGTCTGATCTAAATCTTTCTGATCTGATCTGAATCTTTCTGATCTGATCTGATCTGAATAAAATAAGAATAAACAATAAGTAATAAGAATAAGACGAACAGAACATCACCTTAATTGACTTTTTGGATATAGTATAAAGACTTATTTGACAGTTTTCTCTTTTCTTTTTAATAAGAGATAAAATGCCCATTAGTTCTTATCTAAC